GGGAAAAGGGCGGCATATAAATGTAATCAATCAATCAATCAATCAATCAATCAATCAAAACATATCCAAAAAGGTCAGGGCTTAAGGCTGGACCAAAGAACTCAAAACAACACGGAGAATCTTTCTCTGCAACTGTGAAAACAAGGATGACGCCCTGAGCTTCAATTAAAGTGGGAGTAAAACCAGATTAACACACCCTCCTCTTCCTTCTGCTACATTTGCTGGAAGTCCTTGGAATCCTCATTCTTCTGAAAAGCCAATGCTAATTATGCTAATTATGCTGACTGCCAGGAGTTCAATCCTAACCCGGCTCCAGGTTGACTCAGCCTTCCATCCTTCCGAGCTTGGTAAAAGGAGGACCCAGATGTTGGGGGGGGGGGGCAAGAGGCTGACTCTGTAAACCGCTTAGAGAGGGCTGTGAAGCGCTGTGAAGCGGTGTATAAGCCCGAGTGTTGTGGCTATTTCAAGAAACTACAGCAGCATTGAAAACAACCTTGTTCTCCCAACCCCTGAACCACATTTTGACTATCGACGGCTCTCATCAAGACAATTCAGGAAGAGAAAGGAACCCTCGGATGCATCCCTTGTTCTTCCATCTAGCCTGCCTCTCTCCTTGCCTGGAGCTTCCTCATTCTTCGGAGTTCAAAGACAAAAGCCCCGCCAGGTTCCTCTTTACCTTCCTAGCCTCCTTGGCTCAAGCACTTATATGCCACTCCCAGGCATCAACCTTTCCACATCTCAAGGTGGTCTGGAAAACGAAGCCCAGATTCACCAGCCAGCTTCATCTGCTTAAAAAGAGCTGGCAAGAAGAGTTTGGAAAAGGAAACGCAGCCCAACCTTCTCTTCCATTTCTAAGGTCTACTTCCGCAGGGTCACCTGGAAAGAACGTTCATTGCCAGGTCGTCCAATATAGCCCAGGAAGCGAAAGCAGAAGAATGACCGGCGGATGCTATTCGGGGCTCATGACCTTTATACGGCGAAGGCACCGTTTTGTCTGTGCTTTGTCGGGGAAAGCCAGATGACAGCGGAAACAATGCTAGACTGGGTCTAAAAATTGCCTGGGGGTTGGATGGAAATTGTCCAAGGACATCGGAGTCTTTGGGGACACAGCCTATGGGTGGCCTGCGTGTAGAAGAACAGACTTTGCTGAGCTGGCCAGAGTTCTCTGCAGGCTAACATTTGATTTTCAAGATTGGCCAGCCAGAAGGCCACGGTTTGCTCTCCTTTGGGGTCTGACAGCCAGGACACAACTTTGTGGAAGGAGGTTCCCAATGCATCAACTGAAGGTATCACATCCAAAGAAACTCCTGAAGTTACTAACAAACCTATTTTGCTGACATAAAGGTGCGTTGAAGGCTACAACAACTTCCCAAACAACAACTCTGACAGCAGCAGATCTCAAGCTCTGAAACATCTGCAGCTCCAGGAGTAGCCCAATAAATGCCTTTCTTCCCCAAAAGGTGTGCTCAGCTGCAGAGCCCCAGATGCTCAATGAAACCCGTCGTTCTCCTGAAAGCAGAATCCTTCCACAGCTCTGGACTTTCTTAATGGGCAGGATGCCTTACAATCAGGGGTGAAATTCAGCAGGTTCTGACAGGTTCTGGAGAATCGGTAGTGGAAATTTTGAGTAGTTCGGAGAACTGGCAAATAGAACCTCTGGCTGGCCCCAGAGTGGGGAGGGAATGGGGATTTTGCAGTATCCTTCCCTTGTCATGCCCACCAAGAAATTTGGATTTCACCACTGCTTACAATGCTTATTTATTTCCTTTATTTCACTGATGCCACGGCCGTAGGGAGCTCACAACCATCCACAACGGCAAGGATTATTTTTTAAAGCATCCTTCTATCTCCCTGCCTGTTGCCAGGCCCATCACCCTCCGAGCTCAACCTCCATTCTAGTTCAAGACCTGGGGAAAGAGGCAGCTTTTCATGGCTCCCCTCCCGAAGGCTAAAAGGGGAGGGGTCCCTCGGATCTCTGGGCTGCCCCAATAAGAAGATTTATTTATTGCCAGTGCACAAAATATGTACAATGAGATTGGTTGGGCTGGGGGGGGTGGGGGGGAGAAGACACTGAGAAGGGGAGCCTCTAAGGTCCCATCAGGTAGCAAGTTCCCAGGGAGGGGATCTAGAGCCTCCCCCTTCGTAGCTATCAGGACCCCCCATCCCTTCCCACTTCTGCACCTGCCAGATTGACACCTGGGTGCCTGTATGTGTGTGTGTGTGTTCTGGGAGGGGGGGGGTGTCCTTGGGGAACCAAGCCCCAGGGGCTTCCTGAGGGCCAGGCATGCTTTGCTCTCGCCATGCAACCTCCCCCCCACCACCAATTTTGGGCATCTTCACAGAGGCTTTTGCAACCCCCCCCAAAAAAATATTGGGGGAGGGGAGATGCCAGGTGCAAGGTGTATTGAAAGAGGGGGGGGAGAGAGGACCGGGCGAGGCAGCATCTATTGGGGGCTTTGAAGGGGGGAAACCTTTTACCCCTCCCCCCGAATTCGGGGTCCACGAAGCCCCCCTCCCCCAAAGGACCCCTCCTCAGCCTCCATGCCATGGAAGGGGGGGGGGCGGGGGAAAGCAACTTCTGTTCCCTCCCAGACCACGAAGCGCATCGTCCTCCTCCTCCTCAGGGGCCCCAGGGGAAACGTCGGAGGGGCGGGGAAGGATGGGTGGGGGAGTCCGCCGGGGATGATGGGTCCGGGGCTGCCGGCTCACCTGCACGACCACCTCCACCTCGTAGGCGTTGCCCTTGGAGCGCTGCTGCCCGCGGAACTTGGCGCCGCTGTAGAGGCGGCTGGTGTTGACGCCGGGCTGCGCCGTGTTGATGGGCGGCGGCGGCTCCAGGCGGGCGGCGGCAGCGGCGGCGGCTCCCGGGGCCGGCTCCGGCGGGCAGCGGCAGGAGCTCCGCACCGGCATCTCGGCCGGGTCTCCCGGCGCCAGCGCGGGGCGGGCGGGCGGGCCTGGCTCGTCCTCCGTCACCGGGCCGGCCTCCCTGCCCCCCTGCAGCCCGCTCCGCCTCGGCTCCGGCCCGCTCCCCCTCGCCGCCCGCCGATTGGACGTCCGCCGGGCCACGCCGCGTCCCGATTGGCCGCGACACGGTCACGTGCGCGGCGACAGAGGGGGAGACGCCGCTTCCTCTGGGGAGACGGCGCGACGGAGGGGACAAACCGCGTTTGTGACGCCGATTGGCCGGCCGCCCCGCAACCTCTGACCCTCCTCTCCCCCCCCGGCAACATGGCGGCGCCTGGAGGGTCGATGCGGTTACCTCAGGGAAGGAGGAGAGCCGCCTGAGAGGATCCGCCTGGAGGATCTCTGGGCGGCCGGTGGGGAGCGTCGCAAGGCGCCTCCGAAGGGCTGTTCCCCGGCATGTGGCGAAGGAGCCTCGGGCGGTTGCTTGGCAAGGGGGCCCTCGCGACCCTTCGCCCCGCGCCCCGTCCGGAGGCTTCTCCCGTGGCCTTCAAGAGGCCTTACGCGGCCCAGGCAGGTGAGGCGGGGATTATACGCCTCGTGGTCGCTCTGGTCCTATTTCCCTCATTCCAGAAAGCTGTTTTTAGATTTACTCTTGTTTTTTTTTTTAAGTCTCACTTTTGTCCTTTATTTGGGTCATATAACTTTTACGCTACAAATGGTACCATTCAATGCAGTCTTTCACATCCGTGTAAAAACATGGACGTTTGTCTTTAATAAAATTGAAATGGATATTTTTATTAGAATAGTGCTTAATTGTGCTTCAGTTTATTTTGGCCAGCCTCTATTAGGTATGTAGATTATTTGCCTATTTTTGTCTTGCAGAAAGGAAAAGATTTTACCAGAATGTTAGCATCTCCCAAGGAGAAAGTAAGCACAGTTTTGCATTACTGTTATATATTTGTTTATTTGGGCCCATTTATTCTTTTGCAACATGCACTAGAGGGGGAAAAAGAGTTTTGTGGGCAAATGGGAAACTGAATCTCTTCTCTTGCTCCATATCTTCTAAAATCCCACTTGCATCTGTGTGGTGAGCCGGAAATCCATGTTCAGTGCAGAATATTGCCCTGTTACAAACAAGGAAAACCACCAAAGCTTTGCCAGTTGTCCAGAGTTTCATAGTTATGAATTTTTTTGTCAACATATCACTGTCATTGTCAAAGGCTATGTTGTAGCATGGGGCTTATATCTGATGTGGGCTTCTCAGGGATGTGGTTGGCCCTCAGGATGCTCTTTTCACACAATCTAGGAATGTTTTCTTATGTTTTTAAAGGTAGTCCCACATGCATTAATGGCAAGGATTGCCCTTTTACTGAGAGGGGGCAGGAATAGGACAAATGTTCACCTCTCAAAGCTGAAGTGCAGCAAAATAAAAACAAGCTATAGATCAGCAATATTCCGTGCCATAGTCTCTTCTTTCTCTTCAGGTGGCTTTGAAATCAACTTGGACAGCCGGAAGCTGAGAACTCCGCAGGCTAAGCTCTTCACGGTGCCCAGTGAGCCTCTGGCTTTGGCTGTGGCAACTGAGTGGGATTCCCAGCAGGACACTATCAAGTTTTTTACGATGCATCTGGTGTGTGAAAGAAAAGGGCCAGCTGAGCAAATGGAAATTTGGAACCACAGTCAGTTGGGTCTCTTTGAATAAAATAAAGCCAAGGTTGCTGAAATTATAGTTACGTTAGGAGAATGTGAGTTGTATTTACAAAAGTTGGTTTGGTAATAATGAACTCTCTACAGCAGTGTTTCTCAACCTTGGTGACTTTAAGCTCTGCTGGCTGGGGGATTCTGGGAGTTGAAGTCCACGGGACTTAAAGTCACCAAGGTTGAGAAACACTGCTCTACAGTAACCATGTTAAAAACAACAACAGTAAAAACAAAGACTTGGCATATTAGACCAAAAAAAAGCAAGCCCAATCCTTGTGTAAACAGGAAGCTGTTTATAATTTTGATAAAGACAAATATGTAAATTATGAAAAGTTGATAGGCCAAATTTAATGAAAATTCTGGATCTGTATTAAAATCATGTGTAGGATGCAGAATTGCATAGACACTGACGGAACATTTGCACAAGAAATTCAGTGCTTTGCTGTTCAGATTTGTAGGTTCAAGTAGCTTAGAGCCTGAGGTCTGGATCGCTAAAACGGCTTTATGTTCTTTAGACCAACTTGTGCAACACCGCTTTGGACAACCCATCACAGCGAAGCAAAGATCAGCTCATCCAGGCAGCTCTGAAGTTCTTGGAGACAGATACTATTTGGTAGGCATTCATTTTGGTTCCTACGGTTTATTTAAGGTTGGAAATTTAAAGACTTCCTTGTGATGTAAGATTTAGATCACCCAAGAAGAACAATGGGTAATTGGGCCAGTCATCTCACAGGGATGTTGTTTATGGGATGCCACAGAGGAAGGCTTCCATGTAAACCATTTTGAGGTATCTGGAGAAAAAGGTGACCTAATAAAAAATTCAACTAGGCAATAAAGTGGGGGTGGTGGGGGAACATTTCTACAATTTGTGCAATGTAGTATTTCCATGTGGCAGGACTATGTTTTTCTTTGGAATAAAGGAAGATTAAAAGCTGGAGATATTAAGATGCAGAAGTGATTCTTAAGGCCTGACTGCATTGTTGTTGTTTTTAAAAAAATAAACTTTCCTGGATTCTTAGTTACCGGGTAGAGGAGCCACCAGCCTTGGTAGAACTGCAGAAGAATGAATGGGATCCAGTAATTGAATGGGCTGAGAAAAGGTAAGTAGTATAAGCAGTGAATCAGTGCCGAAGGTTTTGGATCTTCTGACTTTGTTTCATCCTTGCCCAGAGCTTGATGTATCGAAACTCCATTCCATCTCCAGATACAATGTGGTGATTGGCTCTTCAACCAGCATCATGGGTCCTACCCTCCCACAAAGCACAAAGGACATCTTCATTAGCCACCTTGCTTCATACAACAGCTGGGCCCTTCTAGGTACGTCAGATAACATCCTGGGATCTGGTGGATTTCAAACTGCATTGGATTAAAACAGTCTTCGTGTATTTCTGTGTGGGGGTGGTGCTGATTGGGAAGAGGATGGGGAGATTCAGGGACCTTTCCCTTTTTAAATTGAATTTTTAAGCCAACTATTCTCACCTTAAAGCATAGGAGAACATACTTTATAAGAGAAAAATGACAATTTTTCTCCTTTTAGTAACACATTAAACTACTTTGGTATTAAATCTTAAGAGTATTTTCTTCACCAGGCATAGAATACATGATAATACAGCTGAAGTCTGTGATTCTAGCAATGAGCCTCGTTGACAAACATTTAACAGTTGAACAAGCTGTTGTCCTATCTCGACTGGAGGAAGAATTTCAGGTAAACTTTACAATGTGACAGGTTTTATACATTCCTGTATGTGGATTCAGACACCGTGCTCGGCAGTATTGCGGCCTTTTTGGTTTTGGCTCATCTATAGTGGACACCTGTTTTGTTTTCTAAGCTATGGTTTATGGCTTTGTCTCCTGTGTGAATCTGGGGTTATATTTGGCATGGTGACTGAGGATACTGTGGCTCGATGTGATCAGTAAACAGCCATCATTGGACCAAAAATGGAGGTCAGGAACATCCAAGCTGAACATGGCTTTCGTTAAGTGATGTCTTAGGATAGAAGTAAATTCTTCCTGGAAAAATCTGCCAAACGCCTTGAACCTGCCTCTGGGAAGGTTCAAGATGATTGGTGGATTTTTTTCAAGAAGAGGAACAGTTTGTGTATGGTTATCCCCGAGCCCTGCAGTGGAAGGCAAAGCCTACAATTTTATTGTTTTTCTCTCTTTTGCTCTAGATTCAGCACTGGGGGAATGTGGAGTGGGCCCATGACTACGAAAGGTATGACTTGCAGGCCCGCACAGCTGCTGCCACCCTGTTTGTCCACCTTTGCTTAGAAAATTCCACCATCAAGCACAAGCTGCTTCAGCACTGAGGAATTAAGATGCAGAAGAAGGGAGAGAGTCAGTCTGGATAAACCTGAAGAAGATTCAGATGGAATGGATGGTGGAGAGGTGTTGTGGGCATGGCTGGGCCACAGAGTAGGAGATGAGACTCTTCTCTTCCATGCCCCTGGAGGCTGATTCTTCCTGGAAGTTTTGGGAGTGACGTCCTATCCATCTCTGACCACTTCTGACTATACTTCCTTGTTTCCCAGGTTCTGCATTTTGCCTGGCAGGTAGACAGATTTCAGGAGCAGAGTGTTGGAATGCTACATGAGCCTGCCACAATGGGTGGAAGGCCACAAGTTCTGTCCCTGGAGGACATGTTGCTAGAGGCGGTTAGAGGTGGGAAAATATCGCAGCAATTGAGCATCTCTATTAAGATTGAAGACACTCTAGCTAGAGTCCCCAACATGAGACACAGGCGGTTCCAACATGCCACCAATATCCCCTTGGTGACCATAAAGATCCTGCTGCACCCCCCTCCCCAATTAAATTTAAAAGAGATCATTGCCACCTTTATTTTAGAGAACTCTCCCTCAATTCCAAATTGGCTCCATAAACTTTTATTAGAAAATTAAAAAATCGTGAACACAACTGAGTACTTTGTTTGGAAGTATGCTTTGAAGACAAAAATTAAGTGATACATTTTGTTCTTTTTAAAAGAAAATACTTCTTATTTATTCATATTGATCATTAAACGTTTTGGGGGATTAAAGATTCTCTGCAGTATGTTAGGTTTTTGGAGTTCAATGGATTAGATTCAACCAGAAGGAGATCACCGGGCAGGTTCACTGCTAGTTGCAGAATCTAAATCCAGGAATGGAGTTTGTAAACTTCAGTACAGAAAGCAGCTACTGCTCTAGGATGTCCAAGTTATCCAGCTCACTACGGATGTGTTCAATATAGTGATTGAGTTCTAGCACACGGCTTCTGTTTCGGTTGATTTCATCCTTGTGAATCTTCAGGGATTGAAAAATGAAGATGGGAAACCTGAAGAAGCTTCAACTCTTACTCCTGATGTCTCTTGGTTTCTTAAGGTTAGCTAAGAGGACGTTTCTGCTTATGTTTCCCTTCATAGCCAGCTCCGTTAAGAGCACCACTGAGTGCTCTAGAAGCCCTCCCTTTCTCAGGAATGACTCTTGTTTGGAGGAAAACCTAACGGTTTATGCTTACCTTTTCAATCAGGCTGTAAACCCGATTGTTAGCTTTGGTGATGATTTCGTCTTCTCGGTTGTCAATCTTCAGCAGGTGAATGTCATGGGAGGCATTGACTGCATTGACGATGGTGTCTTTGTCCACAAAGAGCTGGAAGCAAACCCATTGAGAAAAGGTTCTGAGGAGCCCCCAATGGGCTGTATGTGGTGTCTAATGCCGGATCGAGAACGAGAATACCCCCACCTCTTCTGATCCCGGGGGCAGTTATGGGAGGGGTGGGAGCAGCTTACCATGCGGACATCTTCTGGCATCTCTTCATCGAACTCGCTCTTCACTATCTTCTCCAGTGTGTTGATGGCTGTTTCTAAGAGCTTCTCATGATGGTGGTTTTCAAGATCCCGGCATTGCGCCATCGTGCAGCAGAAGGTTAAAGAAAACACAGCAACCTTGCTCGCTTTAGAGAAGNTCAGACTCAGTCCAATCAGAGCACGGACAGTGTCAACCCATGCATGGATGCTATCTCCACCTTATTAGAAGAGGCGTATCAGGTAAGTTACCAACTCTCTCTCTCTCACTCACTCTCTCTCCCTCCTTCCCTCCCTCCCTGTGTGTTTACAGTGTATACAGTAAATTCACACATACACATACATGTATTTATGTGTATGTATGTAATAATAACATTATATCAACCTCACCCATTCCTAAGAGATCTTTAAGAGGTATGTGTAAGTACACCAGCGTGCTTACCATCCCTGTCCTAATATTTTCTTGTATTCATATTCATTTCATGTATTCATAATCAGGTCTCTACTTATATCTATTATCTAATTCATAGATGACAAAATAAAAATAAATTAAAAAAATAAAATAAATATCAGTGTTTAAGAATGGAGGAAATGGGACAATGGATATTTAGTAAAGTATGTGGTGTGCTATCCTTTAGAAACAAGATTTACAGAACGTCCTCAAGGTCCAAAAATGCAACTATTAGAAAATGCAACTATTACAATGAAAATTTTCTTTCTCAACCATAATTAAATTAGAAACAAATATTGTAATAAATAGGCAAATGAAGACAAGAGCAGAACTATCAGCTTAGGGTCCATATGGTATCTTTGGAATTTAGAATGCATCTACATGCAAAGGCAACACAGTGGTTTGATCTCTGATTCACCCTACCATTATTTTATATCCAATGTTCAGTTTGGAACATGAATTAATCAACTTACTAGCCCATATCAATACAGGCAGCAACAGGTGTATGGATGAAGTTAAATTTATTATATGAAAGCTTTGCTCACAATTGGTTGCTAATAGTTCTTATTGTTACAGGACAGTTTTGTATTGTTTATTTCACTGTTTGAAAAACAGTATTGTTTTATTACGAATGAAGGTGAATGTACATGTTCCAAGATCGTGTTGCAGGATCCGATCTGGGTTGGTCACTGGGATTAAAGATTTTGTCTTCCAAGCTGGGCTCCAGCACGTCTGAAAGCTCGGAAGACAAACTTCTGATCTCAGTGACTGACCCAGATCTGATCCTGTAATTTTATTGGTTAATGACTAAAACAAAGTTTCTGTCTGGATGAAATTACTACAGTTATTTGTTAGTTCATGTATTTTGGCTTTGTTTTTTCTAGCATTAATCTCAAAAGTCTCTGAATAGATTTCCCTGATTTACAAAAATATTGGATCTCCTTTTGACTTTTTTTTAATGGAAAGGCTAAATGGGTATCTTTGAATTCCTTATGAATTTATATAATTTCTAAATTCATTTGAGCTTGTAAAATATTGGAGGCCACTTTGCCATTCCATTAAAGAGTCAACCAGATGGCAGTAGACATGGATGGTAGAGGAACCTGGTAAGCTGAATATACAGCAGATTACTCATAATTTCATTGATGTTAAAATTTATTTATTTATTATTTATTTATTTATTTATTTGTCTTGTATGCCGCCCACTCCCGGAGGACTCCGGGCGGCTCACAAAAGACAAGGGAAAGGGGGGAACGAGACAAAGACAACATATTAAAAACAAAACCAACATTCACAATTTCCGTGGAGGTAGATGCTTCTCAGCTAAAACATTTATATTGTTATCTTGCAGACCATAGAAAATCTGTGCAGTGGAAGCTTGGTGCAGATGGTGATATCTGGGTATGGATAATGGGAGAACACATACTGGATAAACCATATGACCTTCTGTGTAGTGAGATTCTTGCTGAAAGAGTGAAACAACAGTCACTTCATCAAGTAGAGGCAATAAGGTTAGTAGTACAGTCTTCCAAAACTGAAAACAAATACATCAAATCTGTCATTAAAAGGAATTTAATTTGTAGTCCTTTTGCTCTGGTATCCTGTCTAATAACTTCGAACCCTAAACTAAACAATAAAGAGGATAAAGCATACCCCTGTCTTGTTCCCTTCTGGATTTCAACTGGTTTTGTAAAATTTCCATTCACCATGATTCAAACTTTCTGGAATGTATAGATGGATTTTAGACCTTATAAAGCCCAATCCAAATTCCACCTTTTCCACTATTTTAAATATAAAGGTCCAGTTCAAATTGTCAAAAGCTTTTTCTGCATACAGAAAAAATAATGTTACCTGTTTATCCCTACATTATTGTAAATATTCATTTATATTCAAAATTACTCTTATATTATCTTTTAGTTTTAGGTAAGAAACTATACCGGTCTTCATGTATATAATCCTATAAAACTTTTTAAAGTCTTTCAGCTAAAATAGATTTAAAAAGTAATGACTACAGTCATTATTAAGGAGAGAGATTCCATATAGTTCTTTACAGAAGTTGAATCCAATCCACCTTTGGGCACTAGAGAAATGTAGGCAGAAGTAACTTATCTTCAAAAATTTTATAGAATCTGCTTGGGGGGCCATCTGGTCTGAGAACTTTGCCAGTGTTTTAGCTCTTTTAATGGCTTCAAAAGTTTAATTACTTCAAAAGTTGTTATTGGACTCTGAAATTTGCTTGTAGGTTTCGAATAATTTAGGAAAATTTTTAATTGTTATATACTCTCCCATAGTATCTAAAGAGAAATGTTTTTGTTATCCATATAAGTCTCATTCCACTCTTGAAGTTTGGTTATCATTGTTTTTTTGTCTATTTTCTTAGTTTGTATGCCAACCATCTCCCTGATTTATTTGCATATTGAAAAAAGTGTTTCATATATTTAAGTTTCTTTTCAATATTTGAAACAGTGAATAAAGAAATTTGTTGCAATATTTGTATTTGTTTAAATATGGGAAAACCTTCTGGTTAGTTATGGAGTTCCCTCTGTTTCAGTTGAATTTCTTATAACACCTTTTGGATTTTTTTTCCTTCCATTTTCCTCTTAAATATTGTATAAAATATCCTCGTATCACAGCCTACACATTTATGATGTAAATACACTGGATTATGGTCAGAAAAAGTTTTTGGAACAATAATGGCTTTAGTTGCTTTGTAAAACCAAATATCAATTCTAGAAAAGGATTTGTGTTTCTGAAAAAAAGGCAAAGTCTTTTGTTAGCCCATTTTTACATTTGCAAACATCAATTAAACATAAAGTATCAGTCAGCTTGAAGAATGTTTGGGGCAATTTCCCTTGTGTTTCTTTAATTCCTTTATCTGGTGATCTGTCCAATTATGGGATTACTACCCCATAATAGTTTCCAATTACACATCAATACTGAAAAGAATAGGAGAGTAAGTGTTCAGACAGATGTTTAATACACATACACACAATATATATGATATGACAGGATGCTTTCAATTGTCCCTCTATGGAAAGTGGTAAGGATAGTGAAAGGAAGATGTGCTCTTCTCATATGATGCAGAAAATGCAGACACTGCTATGCCTGCTTTACCAATGTCTCACTGTTGAGCAACAAAGTCAACCTGCTCGACAGCTGCACACTTAAAAACTTGATATTACTAACCACCTCCACATTTGAATTGTTAATATTGTGAGGTGTATGGCTGTGCCTGCCTTTTTTGAAATCAAAAATGATCTATTTTGTTTTTTCTTACATGTAAAACCAGACTGTTTTTATTATACTATCAAACTCTCTATCTCCTCCCAGTAATCACCCTCATTATCATATTGATAAGGCCCACGGCTGTTGTATCCGTGGCACGACAAAACCGCGGTCCACTAAAGCGCGCCCGATTAAAGCGCGTACCTGACATCAGCAGCAGCGCGACAAATACGACCGCGGAGAAAAAAGGGCGCTTTAAAAAGCGCTTTTAAAGCAAGCCGATTCACGTAAAGGTAAGGGTTAGGGTTAGGGTTAGGGTTAGGTTAAGGGTTAGGTTTAGGGTTCCGTTAAGCGTTAGGGTTAGGGTTAGGGTTAGGTTAAGGGTTAGGTTTAGGGTTAC